GGGGGCTGGGCCTGCGGGGCCGCGGGGGCTCAGAGGCCGCCGCCCCCCTCCAGAAGCCTGTCCGCCCCCCGCTCGGAACCCTGGATGGAGGCACCACAGCCCCGGGGCTAAGCCAGGTAGGAGCTAAACCGGGCCGGGTGGAGGGGGCTGCGTGGCGGGCCGTTGGGGTCTCCCTGTCCCCGTGTCTCTCCCTGCGCCTGATCTCCCCCAGCCTGCTCCTTATGCGTGTCTCCGCCTAGGGATGCTCTCGCCGTGTCTCTGCGTCTCGGTCTCTTTGTCTCTGCCTCTCTTCAGTCCATGAATGATCCTTTGAATGGGCCCACAGACCCCGTGTGTGTTTCCATCTCCCCCTCCCCCTCCTTCTCCCCTTCCTGGCCAAGCCATTTTCCCCACTGCAGGAAGGGAGGGTGCTGCGGCCTGAGCCCCTGTCCCTCAACTCTCCCGGGCAGGGGGAGTAAGGCCTGGGCTGGACCGGAGAGAGTCGTGCAGAGGGATGGGGAGAAGAAGGTGGGGGGAGCAAGATGTGGCAGACAGAGATGGGGAGAGCCGAGAGAGAAAATGGGGGAGGTAAGAAAAGATAGGAAAAGAGAGGGAGCTTGGGGAGAAATTTGGGGAAGGGATTTAGAGGAGAGAGAAAGACAGGAAACACCAAGGAGAAAGATGTAGGAGAGAATGAAAAAAAAAAAAAAAAAGACCCGGGTAAGAGACCAGGGAAGACCGAGAGCGGGCTGTGCTGAGCCGAGCCGAGCTGAGCTGGAGGAGGTCGAAGATGATGCTGGGAGGGAGCTACGAGAGAAGAGAGATGGGGGTGGAGGGGAGGCGGGGAGGGCTCCAGTGGGAAGGAAAGATGCCGGCGAGGATGAGGCCAGGGGCCCAAAGGACCTAAGGGAGGGGGCTGTCTGTCTGATGGTGTTGGCGTGAAGGATGTGGTGAAGAGGGCGGCCAGGCCATAGAAGCCAAGTCCAGGCAGGCCGGCAGAGAGCAGACCCTGGAGGAGCCAACCTGAGCCCCCCTCCAGGTGGCAGGGGTACAAGAGCTTAAGAGGATCTGAAGAGGGGGGAGGGCAAGACTGGGGTGTGTGTGTGTGGTTAGGATTCCTGTGTCCTCATCTCTGGAATAAATTGACACCTGCAGAGAGCCACCCGCGGGCTGGCGCCTGGCTCTGAAAGCCCCGCGTCAGCAAACAGCTCTGGCAGCAGGGGGTGGGGGTGGCGGGGGGTGGGGGCAAGGGGGCTTGGTAAAATGACCTGGGTGCCTGTCCTTTGGGCTTAATCTCTTCCCAGAGCCCTCTGCCCTGAGTACCCAGGCTTCTGAGCAGCAGCTGTGAGGGATTGGCAAGAGGAAGGGGAGGTGATGGGATTGAATGAGAGGGAAGGAAGCGGAGGTCTGGCCCCAGGACGTGGGTCAGATTTGGGTCAGGGCAGTAGCGGTGTCTGGTGGCCCAAGTTGCTCAACAGTGCAGGAGGGGTGCCTTGGTGGACCCAGCTGAAGCCCCTCCCAGCCCACCTTAGCACTCCTTCTCAATCAGAGGCCTGGTCGCTAAAGCCAGCTCTGAATGGCCAACGAGGGGAGCCAAAGTGGGCCTTTTAGGGTCCTCTCTGTCCCCCTTTTCTCCCAACTTATATACTTCACCCTCTATCCTGAGCTAGGAAAACTAGCATTTTGACTGCTCCCCTGCTCTCCCCCTCATGCCCTGAATGGACCCCAGAGCCAAGCCAGCCCCTTTTCCTCTGCTTCCAGAACCCCCTTCCAGGGTTAAAGCTGCTGCCCGTTGCCGAGGTAACATTGCGGGGCAGCATCCCGTCGCCCAGCAACGGGCTGCAGGATCACGCATCTGTCCCTGGATTTGCCCCTCCAACACCCCCTCCCTACTCTAGCCCCTGCCTCAAGGCACCTCAACTTCCAAGGGGAAAAAAGGGAGAGGGTCTGGAGAGATAATGGAACCTGGGACCACATGGATCCTCTGGGAATTCGATGTTGGGAGTAGGTACGGGGCTTATGCAGTCCCAAAGAAAGACCAGAGCCTGGCCTGGGGTGGGGGTTCAGTGCCAAGAAATTACAGCTCAAGAGTAATTAACACGTATAAACAAACCCGCCACTTCCTGCTAATTAATGACTTGGTATTTTTATTTTCTCTTCCTGCTCTATGTCATTTCTTCCTAGCGAGGTGGGAACTAGAACTCCTGAGTCCCTGAGTAGAGTCTGAAAGGGTGGAATAAAGGGTCTGAAAGGGGCGCATGCTAGGTCTGGGGTGCTGACTGGCTTTCTCCCTCAGCTTTGCTTAGGACCTTTACCACATCCTGGCCCCACCCTCAACCTCTACCTGGGTGGGTAGCCGGGGTGTCCCTTTTGGGGAAAAGGAGAGCATTGTGGGTGTATGTGTGGGTGGGTGGGTGGGGGTCCCAAAGGACTAGGGGTGGAAACAGCAGGTTGGCTTGGTCTGAATTCCAAGTCACTAACCACTTTTCTCTTCTTTTCCCTTCTGTCCACCCGTCCAATCTCTCTTCCTGTCTTCCACCCCTTGTCCCATCTGTGTTCTGTCTGTCTGCCTTTTGCATGCCCTGTTCCTCTTCCTCGGTCTCCCCACAAACACCCACACCTACACCTCTGCCGCCACTACCAGGTCGGGCCTGCCTTTCCCTTCTCCCACCTTCTTCCCCTTCCCCACCCCTTGGCCCCTCCATGGAGAGGAACAGACACCTTCCCCATCCAGTCTAACCCCCACCCCTTCCCACGCCCCTCCTCCCTCCTTGCCCTCGCCCCCTCCCCCCACCAAACCCTCAGTGAAAGTCAATGAGTGCATTCAAGCTGAACATGTACAGGATGGTAAAAGGAACTATATGCATGTATATGTATGTAGGATTCACAGAGGCTATTTCTTGTGGATCATCAAAGTGAATTGGCAAAGTATAGTCCACAAGGAAAATATTTTATATTCAACCTTTGTGAATTGTGATTCTAGTCTGAAAAGCTTATGAATGAACATGCAAGGTGC